CACTTCTCCCACATGAGATTGCAGCCTTTGGTCTTGGTCTGAATCCCTTGTCTTCTGACCCTGCATCCATAGTCAACTATAGTAGCAGTCAGGAAACAGACGAGCAAGTCGAATCATTACTGCCAAACGAGGCTTTAAGAACACTTGATAATGAGGACGAATCTCGAATTTCACAGGACGTTGCGCTGTCAGGACCCGAAATAACACCTACAATCAAATCTTCAGAGAAACCTGCGGAAGGTACCAAAAAGCTTCCGGTAAAGACCGAACCCAGTTCTCAAGTCTCAGAGACACCCAGCAAGGAAACTCGCTCTCAATCGGTTTCGGAAGCCTTATCTCAATCATTTTCCGCTACACCTGGGTATCTGGCCAATCGTTGGAATAACGTGAACCCATTCTCAACCCCTGTTGCTCCTCACAGTGCCATGTTCACAACTCCCACCATGTATGCAATCCCTGTTTTAATTCTTCTATCGCGAATAAGCTACTGACAAAGTATCTCCAGTTCTCGACCAATCTTCCCATCATCTTGCCCTGAAAGAATCACAACAGATACTACTCCATCTGCTACTTCTCGAGTACGTCTTTCAACTGGCCTGGATGGTAGAGCAGAGTTAGTTGAAGGAGATATTACCCCTCCCCGCCCACATGCCGAACGGCCTACATCGTCATTGCCTAGCGTTATTCCACTAAAGCGAATGCGAAGCCTATATCGCAGCCATAGTGCCCTGCCTCTCGGATCTTCATCCTTTAATGGGCCTTTCACGCCTCGTCTACTAAGTGGCCGCTCGCGTGATGCACGGACTTGGGAATTTTGTGCCGAAGGAGAGCCTCGTGACGAACTCACCACTCAGGCGGAAAATGAGTCCAGTGGTTCAGCAATCGCAGCTATTAGTCTTATCCGCTCGACAAGCAGCAGTGCTTTGAAACCCAACCCAAATAAACGAAACACACCATCTCGACCGAATCTGCAAGGGAAGAGACCTAAAATGGGACGCGCATCGTCAAGTGTTGCGAGGATGCAGAGTGGTATTAAAAAAGCGGGGCAGCCGATTAATGATAAAGATCCGTTGATGAGATCTCCGTCAGGAGACTCGGACAAGGAGAATTGGATCCCGTCTCAAAATAGCGTAAACACACGCCGGCGCCCTGCTCATATTCAAAAGGAGAGTGACAGAGGACCGAAAGGAATTCTTCAAGACAACCCTAGTATCCCTACTCACGCAGACTTTAGCGTCAGCAAGAATAAGCGAAGAAATAGTGCTCATTCTGAGCCTCAGGTTTATGAGGATGCAGAAGCTAGTACAAAGAACACCAAAGCTCCCGATGATGATGTTCAGCAATTTATGCAAGCTCCGGTGAGCCCGAGCAAGAAGGACGATGTCGATTGTATACAAGGGCTTCTATCATTGAGTCAGGGGAATTGGCGATAATCAGGTCCCTACGGGGTCAGTGATACGAGAAATGAATGATGATACGGGGTTTTACTGGAGCTTGATTGGTTGGGTATTGGTCAATTTTTGGAAAATGGAATAAAATTGGTGTAACATTGTGGTGTGGTGTATGGTCAATTATTGTGGGTTCCACTAACATTTGGAAGATCCAAAAATGTTCAATTAATCGAAACAATTATATCTTAAAGATCTGGCAGTCTGCTGGGCGGGTCCTGAATTTTGCGATTCTTTTTTTTCCCGAAGACTTTTGCAATCAAACTTGTAAGGTCAAATTGCTAGATCATGTATTACCACTTGACGCTTTGAAAGTCATGATGAGGAATCCCCTGTCCATTCAAACCAATTAAGCGAGCGCAACCCCTCGAGTTGTATCAAAACAACTACTATTACCTGATCATCTTCAGACACATATTATTGCTCTTAGTTGATGTATCAAATTCTATTGATATTACTTTAGGACATTGTTAGTCATCTTCTATTCACTGTATATGGTGTGTACTTCTTAAATTTGTTCCCAATTTCTTTCTGGCCCCATGCCAGTTTCTCCAGCCCAACAACCACAGAATAGGTTTTTGATTCCTCGGCCAGCTTCAACTTAACAAAACAGTCTCTAACTTCTTGAGGACAACAAACAAATCACCATTTCAATGGAACAAATTTTTGCTACACAGACACCATTACAAGAATTTCGGGCTCTTGATTCTTACATAGATGTTGACTTTGCTCAGCTTTTCAATTCTTCTGTTTCTATCTGTGATGACAAACTCAGATTGAAAGGGTTAGCTGACAAACCTGGATCAGGTTTTGATAAAGGTAATGGAAAAGGAACTGGTATTTGTACAACTGCAGAGCATAAGGCTGTCGATGATAAAGATATCGATCCTCTGACGGTCAACACAAAGCCATTTATGCTGACACCAGAACCTTCACTGCCCAGCTCCAGATCTAGTTCCAGCCCAGCATCCAACTCCACATCCACCAGCAAAAACCCAAGTCTGAAAGTCGATAACACAGCTCAGACTGCAGTTGTCTCTAAAACTGTCCACCAAAAGCAAGCATCTGACAGCACTATCGTTCCGGAAATCAGCATTCCTCAGTACCCAAATTACAAAGGAAAAATCTGCAACCCAAGTGAAATTGTCACCAGCTTGATCACTACTTCAGCAAATTCAATGATCGGCAGTCCAATAAGCCGTATTGAACTCCGAGCACTCTACGAGAAGTATCCCAACATTTGCCCTAAATTTCCTGCACCACGACCAGCCTTCTTCAATCGAGATCTCAGCCAACAAACATATCTACAATGCGTACGGTCGCCCCCAATCACACCGCGCAAATACGGCCAACCAGACTCCCGCCGTCTCGCCGAGTCATTCGCCTCCAGAACACCACTCCCGTCCAAAATTCACTTGCACCCCAGGATGGTGAAAGAGAGCTTGAGGGAATGGTATGAGATGGCTGGATTTATGGCAAAGTGTCGACGCGATGAACAGCTCAATCCTTATCCACATCTGGATATGAATTCGGGATGGAATCGCGCACGAGTTCAGGGAGAACAGTGGCATGATAATTTCAATCCGTGGCAGAAACCTAATACGAAGATTTTGGAAGTGGTTCAGTTGCAAGAGCAGCTTTTGAATTTCTCGTGGGGCGAACAGGTAGATTCAATTGTTGTTGATGGGGGGTTAGCAGAGGGTGTTTTTGAGAAGGTATTTGAGGGCCTGGATGCGGAGAAAGAGAGGATGGCTGGACGCGGACAGAAGAGAATGCCTGGGGCTTGGTGGGCACAGAGGAAACGTATTTTCTATGATTTGAAGGGTAGAGGGTTTAGGGAGGAGGTCCATATCAAGAATTGTCAGATTTGGGATGGGGTAAAGGCATGGGCTGCAAATGATACCGACGCAGAGTCCGGAAAATTGAAGCGGAAAATCGATGTCGTTGAGAAGATGGCCGCGAAAGCAGACGATATGGAACAGACCCAAATTGAGGAGCCCATTCCCAAGAGACACAAAGCCCGACGTCGAATTGCACAAGTCATGAGTGCCACCTGGCGAGCCAAGCGTAGAAATCAGGAAAAGAAAGCGGGTCGATGGACAGACGGAACGCCTCTGCAAAACCGCATGTGGGCCGAATTTCACTGGGTCTTAGATGCACCAGACCATCGCGATCGGCGATTTTTCGATATGCGGGACTGGCCGCGCATGTTCGCTGAGAAAGGTTGGCCGGGAGTTTCTGCGACGCGGGTTTGGGCGGAGTTTTGTCGTGGATGGGGTCCGTTGCAGAGCTGGCTTTACTGGTATACGCTTCAGGCGCAGAGACAGCGTAGAATGTTTAGGGAAAGGGAAGGGCAGAGAAGGCAGAGACAGTGGGCTATTGAGGGTGAGGGCGAAGCTAGGCTTGCGGATGCAAGATTTGGGCATGTTGGGCACCATGGATAAGATAGTGGTGGTAATGGGATATCCGGGTGCGTTGAGGGATTCGACATTTTGGGGCAATGCGATGATCAGAATTTTCCTGATCATTTGGAACATTCAGACTCTACGAGGGTCTTTACACAACCTAGAGTTCCTCGTCAAGTGGGAGAATCGTAGGTTCGAAATATGAAACGAAACGTGTGCCATGACGGCATGGCAGTTCAAAGAGATTTGCGCTGGGCAGTTCCGTTTCTCAAGCTTTATTTGTCAGATGGTGATCTTTGCTTTAATATCAGTTCGTAGCAATCTAAGAAAGCCTATTAATTTCCTATCAGCGAAGCAGTGATAATGTGCATGATGACGAGATTGTTGAAGATAAATTTGCATATTTCGTGCGTAGTATGCTTTCTTAACTGGCGTCCACACTTCATCAAAGTAGTGTCCTTACAACAGCATTTCTGACCTTAACCTAATTGATGTTGATCCTGCTCTTGGTATTACCATTATCATGATGTGTGGTTTATTGGTCTGTACTACGGATTCCTCAGGCGAGACAGCATCGTATGCCTGTTCAATCTCTTGAAATCAGAATAAGAAAGTCGCTTGTTTTGGCTCAGTAATATCGAAATCTGAAGTCCCTTGGCGTTCTTGATAGAACTGATTTCTATCTCTGGATATTTTGGAGATGAGGAAATAGGAAGAAGGTAAACTGAGGATCGATGGAGCTGAAAGCTACACACCACTGCTGTTTAGTAAGAAACGTGAAATCATTTCGCTTACATGCTATTCCTAAGGCCATCAATAATTCATAGACGAAGTTTGATTCGAAGCAGAACGATCGAATATCTCTTTCTTAGAGACCGAAATGATGTGAAAAGAGTAATTCGGGCATGCAATGCAGTAGTGATGGATACGAAAGGGTATTGGATAGGCATAGTCCATTGAGTAGCCAAAAGTTTCTTCGAAATGTTACCATAGAGGTAACGTTCAAGCACCGGAGGTGTTCGCACTTTCCTGAAGTAAAGTTCCCAATAAACCCTTTATACTCTCCATCCACAACCAAGATACATGTATTCCAAATAAACAGTTTATCCGAACCATCTCTTCAATTATAAGCTATCAAACATTAACCATGGGGAGAGCAAAGTTCCAACGACGGAAGGGGAGGAGCCACAACAAAATCATGCCAGGAGCTTCATTGAAAGGCCATTTAATGGCAAAGGGTTTCAACGCTGCAGCAGTAAGCTCACAACTCACAATGAGAAACCATTACTCGATCAATTGAAGCTGATTTTTGTTCAGGCGAGACAAACTTTAAAATTGCAAAAGAAACACTGCAGACTCGTGAATGAGCGTGCCGATATTAAAGTGTGTGAGCTCAAGTCGTCTAGCTGAATATCTCGTTTTGAAGAAGACTGATTATTTCCAGTCTCAAAATTGGGCCAATTCTATTCGTGTGCAAAAGGAAAAGTGTTTGCTTTTAGATCTATTGCCCGAAGTGCGTCTGACTATCTGGGAGTTTTGCATTCTCAATCTGCGTAAGTAGTATCCTGAACCTCTCGTATCTCCGATGATGCGGGCGTATAAATAATAACGTTTGTAGCTTGCGGCCGCAAACCCATCACAGTAGCTATATCTCAACCGCAACTCAATCGAGATCGACATGTGTTTGAAGGCCGACCTCCTTTACATCGTAACAAGAAATTCTACGCACAAGAACGAGCCTACTTTCGCCAGAAGTACTTCGACCAGGTACACCCTACCTTTAGAGCCCAAATTTTCAATCTCCTTATGATTTGTCGACAAGCATATCTTGAAATTGAGGGTGGCGCCCTTTTGTACAAAATAAAGACTTTTAAATTCCTTGAACAGATGACTTTGTTCAGATTTTGTTTTAAAATCCGACGCCACTTCTTCTTTATACAAAGTATGATTCTTGAATATGACATCTCTCGTAACAGGGACTTTACTTTCGTCAATTCTACGTTTCGGATGATTTTCCGTTGTTGTAACCTCAAAAAATTCAGAATGAAGATGAGAATTCTAAGTCGCGAGCTTGCCAGAGAGGGAGCGCCTGCCTTTAGGTTCCAAGGCACCCTTCTCCCAAATTATCACGGACAAGCAGTACTCCACAAACTCTGCAGGTGCCCGGAACTATGGAAGTGGAATCTAAAGCCTGAGAGAGTTGACAAAATCAAAGATTTCGATATTGATGTCAGCGGCGATGATGCCTGGCCCAGCTACTTCAGATTTGGCGGAGACAAAAAGGGTTGGCACCTTGTAAGGAACTTACACGCTATGCACAATATCGACATGAGTGAACTTGTGCAGCGTCTCACGGAGAGGTATCCGTACTACCAAAAACGTGGTGTCAAAGAGCAAACCTCGAACCGCATAGAGAACATATGGGTTGATGTCTGCGAACCTATCCTGGTCCCAGAAACTGCATTGAAATTGTTACAGGAGAAGAACGAGAAAGCGGAAAGGGAGAGGTTGGAGATGGAGAGATTGGAGGAGATATCAGAGGAGTAAAATTAAGAACAAATCGTCGGACAACACAGCAATAACTGTTTATGCTCTTCTAGAACTACCGCAACGAATCGAGTTAGATAAGACTCATACCCATGTATTGATAACATCGGAGAATGGTTGACTAAACCGTAATTCTAAATATACTCAAGTAACCATACAGATATTTACAGATTGCTGACTCGTAATTCTGGTGATACAACACTTTCCCGGCTCTCTTTCTCGATTCTACGTCTCGCTTCCTCGTTCCCCCTTTTCCACATATCTATTCTTTTTAAATGTCCGTTATCAAATCCTTCTCGCCACCACTTCTGGAACTTTGGTAAACTTCTACCTTTACCATTCTTGGGCTCACCTGCCATTTCCCTGATGGTCTCAAAATACTCTTCAAAATCGGGATGGAGAGCTGTGAAGGGTACTCCATCCCCTTTTACTGCGATTCTATCTTCTTCCCATTTCTTTTGCTCTTCAGCTGAAGGAAGAGTGATGCGTCCAGCTAAAAATCGTGCTACAAGTACGGCTTGCCATTCAAATACCTTAAATGTAAATCCTGCGGCTACAGCACCAACGAAAGTCAAGGTAGGGTCCTCGCGCCAAAATATATGTTGATACAGATTTGGAAGACGATTATTGCGAATGGTAGAATCGAGATTAGGAATAAAAGGAAGAGTCCAGGAATATCCAGTACCGAAAATAATATAGTCTACTTTCTCTAATCTAGACCCATCCTCAAAATGGATTGTTCGCTCATCTGTATTGGGATCCGAGGTTATGTGGGATATCGGCGGACGTCGAAGAATATGGGGATGCTGGAAAGCGTAGTCAAAAAAATAAGGATGATATTTGCCTCGAACAACAGAATGAAGAGGTCTTTCAACATAATCAGCAAGAGCATAAGAAATATCAGGACCAGAGATGCTGGCGCCGACGACTACTACACGCTTCCCACGATATGTTTCTGGGTCACGCCACGCTTTCGAATGAAGAACCCTTCCAGGAAAGTTTTGGGAGAAGGTAGAAAGACCAGGAGTTGAAGGAATGAACGGGACACTGTAATGTCCTGCTGCTACAACAACTGCGTCGAAAGATTCCGTCCACCATCTATCTTCAATACCATTGTCAAGGGGTTTGCGCAACGTCAGAACCCATTTCGATGTATGTGGGTCTTGATGAACAAGCTCCACAGTAGTATCGTACGATATCAGATCCGGGTATCCTTTCCGATCCACCAAATCTTGAACATATTTTTCCACCACCTTCCAATGGCGAAATGGCGAGTTTTCTCCATGTCTTTTAATGTTAATCGCTGATCTCGTTTCCGGGAATGGTTCTTGAGAAAAAGACATGGCGAAAGCATCTATATTTGTTTCCAACGTAGGATATATCGAAGTATCAGAAAATCTATATTGGGTATTGTGCGGAAGCGTAGTAGGAAGTTCGGATGGAATGGGAAGAGTCTCGTCTGGTCTGCGAGAAGCAAGCTTTTCAAAGTCTGGAATTTGTTGGACGTGATCTTTCGGATCTCCGAGCCTGTGAGATGAATATGAGTGATTGTTCTATTGTTCTAACTATTCAGCCACTTCGTACTCACCAGCATCCTCCAGCTTTCTCTCTTCTCTCAAAGAGCCGGATCTCATCAAATTCTTGCTCCTGAGCCAGAGCGTCGAGTGCAATTGCGCCAGCCGGTCCAGCGCCGATGATTGCCACTGACTTGATGATTGCCATTTTGTGATGATTGCTCCTTTGGCGAGTGTAAAGATATATAGACAGATGTATTAATATTACTGCGAAGTCATGGAGGGCGTATAGAGGATAGAAAACGCCTCATAGCACACCTCATAGTTTTTATTTATCCTCTGATTAGTAACGGGACAGGAAGTAATCGATCTGCAGGGAACTCGGTATGGCGAAATTTATCGTGCATATCCCCTCACTCGGGTTCGTTTCGGTCATATGAGCCTAGGTAGATCTCAGATAAGATTAGATTAGATCTGGTCCTCTTTAGCTCCATACAAACAAATTGATATTTACTTCATTGCGAACAACAGGTACTGGCTTTCAGTCCTCTCGATCACTAGATGGCTTCCCGCTCAAGCAGAGCCTTTCATATATAGGCTAAGGTCACAGCTGCATTCCGTCATATCGAGGCGCACTGTCATATCATGTTACATCATCTCGATGGTTCTGTGTTATAGGTTACATTTAGATCATACATTAATATGATATCGATTATGAGTTCTCAAATATTCAAGCTTGCTTCATAGAGTAGATTCACATGAGAAGAGGGTATCATGTGCTATCTGCATCCAATGTTGATGAATTGCAAAGAACATACCTAGCCGAATCCCCATTGAATTCTGAGATACACGCTCTTCAGAGAATATCACCATCCTCACCATTTTCCTGTCTCGCGCGTTCCATTTCTAAATTCGTGAGACCCCTCAGCTCTCCTTCAATCTCTTTACATAAAGTACAAGCTTCCGCAATTCTCAACCACTCACACATCGCTGAAGCCGCATTCAATACTGCCGTTCGCGCTCCCTCAGTCCTGGCTCTTTCTTCCATACCATCGACCAAGTTTTCTCCCCATTTATAAAGATTGTTCATATCCATGGCCGCATCTGATTCAGCTCGATGAGGTGCCATCTGATCTCTTCTGGCCTTTCTCCATAGGAATGTACTGATTACTTCGATATTGTCCATGAGAGTCTTGGAATGATCATCGTTGTATGACCTTTCTCGTCCTTTACCACGGTATGGATGATACCGGTGGGAATATGAACGGTTTCGCTCGTATCTGATACCGGTAGAAGATGTATTTGGAAGAGCGCGAATGTAAGTGGTGGTGGCATCTAGGCATACTTGGTAGAGGGTATTCAAGAGGAAGTAGCGCTGCTCAGGAATTGATACAGGTGCAACGATTGTACTATCTGAGGCATCCGAAATGGACATCCTATTATCCAGCGTTGATTTAGACGGTGTGTAAATCCCCATTGAATTTATGGGGACCCGTTCTGATGGAGAGTTATTTAGCATCATAGCAATAGTGGGAAGACAACTGCCAGAAACATGGCGTAGAGGCAGGGCACGTGAATGTCCAGCGCGGTTGTCAGTTGTACGAGAACCTCTTTGGCATTGACAGTAACCCGCGTCTAGTAAGTTCTGGGAGTTTTGTCGGGTCGAGACGGGTGTGATCATTAGACAGTCCGGATCAGGATCAATCGTCGCCTCAATGGCTGGAGAGGACTCCTGCAATACATACCCAAATGACGCTCTATTTTCGCCTTGAAAGAGCTTACTCCTCTCGGCGCTAGCGTTTCCCGTCACCGACGCCATCTGACTGCCAGACGCAACAGGAGGATAAGGAATCGATTGATTAGATAGGTGCATAGGATTATTGATCCCGTTTTCAATGCCTCCAAAACACCGGGAGTGACGTAATGAATTAATGTCAAAAGGATGAAAAGCTTTAGATTTCTCATCGTTGTTAGATTCCATGACGTAGAGAAGGTCTCGCTAGGGCAGAGGTGGTACGAATGGAAGATGGAAATAAATACTGTCAAATTTTTTCAAGGAGGGTGTGAGAGAGATAAGCTCTGGTTTCTCTAAGGGCAACAGGGCAACGAAACATGGTGTGATTCTCGAAGGAAGCATACTTAGCTGGATTGTTCTCTGGCATGATTGAAATGGGTCATGTAATATATTATATTCTGCATGGAAAGTATGGAACGGCAAAGAGCCAGTGCGTTGCATGATGAGGCTTTGTACACAAAGTTACGAAACTCGTGAGTGCTTCTATTCAACTCTATTCTAAGCATTCCAAATGACAATTCTTCCATCAACACCGCTCGCTAAAAATCAATTAGTTTCTTTTTGAAGATATAGATGAAAAGAGCACTTACTGGTGAACTTGCTGACACCACTTTCCGTTCCTTCATAAATGCGGATAGTGCTGATGGTATTTTGATGCACAGTTGTCAATTGTGTATCATCCTTGACTTTTCCTTTCAAATCCATTTGCTTGAACATATTGAAAGCACTCTCCTCTCCAACATCTTTGACCGGACCCCCTTTTGATTCCAAGGAGCCTGTGAGTTGCCATCCTCCTTCGTTACCACCAAATCGGAATGCCTCACAGTCATAGCCTGCCGCAATGATCTCAGCTTCGCCATTCCAGATCAAACTCATAAAAGGGAGAAGCTGCGTGCTGACACTAACAACAGCCTTTGGAGGTTGGTCTGCGCCGTTGGGGTATACGACTGTGATGCTGCTATCGTGTGCAGCAAAGGCCAAGGCATTTCCACTCGGTGAGAACGATACTGCGTGAACCCATCCAGCAGAATTGTTGAGATACTCTCCGCAGACAGTGTTGAATGGCAGACGCTCTCCCCAAACTCCAGGTTCTGGTCTAGCATCTACTCCCTTAATGAAACTTGAGAACACTCTCGCATGGGCATCGGTAGAACCGGCAGCTAGAAGAACGGAATTTGGATGCCATGCGACAGTTGTAATGGTGCTACGGATAGGCTTCTTGATGTGTTTCGAAACCCACCAGTCGTTCTCCTCTTCAAAGTAGCAGATAGCAATCACCCTTGCACCGGATCCGACGGCGAACTTCGTTTCGGAAGGAGACCATCGAACAAATGTGGCCGCACGGTTGATTCGGAGAAGGACGAGAGTAGGTTTATAGCCAGTGGGAGATGGTTCCCAAACCAAAGCATTGCGGTCTGACCCAATATTATCAGCATTGTTGAGTTAAACCGGTAAGATCAATTGGGTGCAAACCTTGAGAGCATGTTACAATTCTACCACTGTTAGGCGCTATATCAACACTGGTGACGGTCTTGTCATGGCCTTTCAATTCATCCTTGAGCTTGAATCCCTTACCGTCTCGTCCATAGAGCTCGACACTGGTGTCGCGTGCTACAGCCAATGTCTGTCTATCGGCAGAGAACGAGTGATCCGCGATAGGATGATGGAAAAGGTGATGAACTTCTGGACCAGGCATTTTGTTGCTTCTTGATAGGAGGAGCTCTCTACTATCACTGTAAATATGTACTTATGTTGGCATTACCGCATGGACGAGAGATGCTTGCTTAAACGTGGGGCGGGTGCTCCCTATACGTCTGCTTACTAACTCATTTAAGCTAGCGCAAGGCTGCGAAAGGCGGACTCTCGAAATTTATATCTATATTGACATATGTTGGAAATATCCCAGAATCAAGACGCGACTGACTACCGAGTAACGACAAAATGAGTGCCGCAGTAAAACCAGTCCCAGCGAGGACGTCGTTCCCTCCAAACCAAACCCTCTACATTACCAATTTACCTTCGTCGAAGATTCAAAAAGATGATTTACGAAGAGAACTCTACACCTTGTGCTCGACTTATGGCCCAGTCCTCGATGTCATAGCTCTGAAGTCAATGAAGATGAGGGGCCAAGCACACGTGGTGTACAGAGATATCCAGACCGCGACACAGGCTATGAGAGCATTACAAGGATTTGAATTTCTTGGACGTGAAATGGTTAGTTGGGAAACCTACAATTCTATTGCTCGTCTACTTAAAATGATCAAGGGCTGACATTCATCTTACTAGAATATCCAATATGCCAAATCAAAGTCAGATACCATTGCCAAGTTGGACGGTACTTTCCGTATGCCGTCTGCAGCAGCGGCTGCGGTTGTGGCCACAGAATTGCAGCAAAGTATTTTCAATGCGCCGCCGTCTGCAGCTACCACCACGAGCAATTTACCTCCCCCACCACCGCCATCAACCCTCCAGGTTCCAGCTCCGGCCTCTGATCACGCTATGGAAGATGCAACAAGCCCAAGTGCAAGTGTTGCTGGACAAAAAAGACGTCGGGATGAAGAGGAGGAAGAAGATAGTGAAGGAGACGTTGCAATGGAGGAAGACAGTGATGACGATTAGCGACTGATGATATTGCATGGCAAAGGCGTTGGGGACTGGTTTGCGGCGTATTGGTCTTGGTCACACGGTTATCGACTAAAATGGATTTAAAGGGCTACGGCTCCTATACAATTCGCATATGAAGTACATCGACCTCTAATGACATGTCAGATATGGCATGTGAACCATTGTGTATTTCCGATGTAACACAAGTGTACATACCTATTTGGTGATGTTTCAATCGTGTGATAGGTTTTGTCGCTACATGTCCACAAAGTGAATATGAAGCTTCAATATCTATATGATTCTTGGATCCATGTATTATATGCCCAGTAAAGACGAAACTCTTTGAGGCGGAATGTCAAAAGCTCTTCTCTATAGATCTTCCTGAGCCATTTCATGAGGCATCCATAGTCCCACACACCCACCTATCAAGCCAAGCCATACCATTAAATAATTATCTGCCGGGCAGTCAAAATTCTCCATTGCTTCCCTGGTTTGACATGGATGAATGAAGAATGCCGGTACATCTGTGATAGGATGCGGCTAAAACATAGTTAGGATGTATTCTTATAGCAAAATTAGCCACTTACAGCAGCAGAAATTCCACCCATAACTCCCATTGCACGAAGTTCACTTTTGTACTCGTCTGGCACGAGATGTCGATATACCGAATCTATGTCAAACGCAGGCTCATGATTTGGTAAATCGTGAAGCGTAAACCACAAAGTCGGTATTCTATAAGTGGGATGTAGGTGAATCTCATAGGTAACGTAAGGCTGGTGAGAATGCAGACTGTATCGGGGGATAGCGTCACTCTCCAGTCTCAGAGGCTTGTTCAGACGCAGTGCCTCCTATATGATGTCAATAAGTCTAAGTATTCATATAGTGTCAACACGAATGAAGAGAGTCACTAACATCGTCTTCATCCTCATCCATCATATCCACCTCTTGACTCGGAGCAGAATTTGGAGCGTAACCACTACTCAAATTGCCAAGAGCAAGTAATAGATCATCATCATCTTTTGGTGGATGAATTAATCGAATGATTTCAACATAGCATGATCCAGTAGTTGCGGTTCGTCCCATAGACAGCTTGAGGTTCTTCCTTGCAGGCCCCAATGATGCTCGACAATATCTTCGATCAAGAAACGCACAGGCGAGCTCGAATTCTTCTTCCGTGAGAAATGGCCACTGACGATATTCATGGCGATGTGTTGCCATCGTGACTGGTTTAGCACTGGCTAGAGAGTCAAAATGTCCAACCCACGATCAATATTGGTGTGACTAGCGTGTTTGCTGTGCTTGCTCTATGCTCTATGTAGGTGGTTCATAAATATTTAGTGAATTCCTAGTAAATCCCGCTAAAATAAAACCCTTTCTCTGTTCAAATGTTAGTTTGGGAAGTAAATTCGCGCTGTAAATTTTGTAGATTCGAAAGTAGAAAAACACTAGTCGTGATAATGAATGGTACTGTATCTTTTGTAGCTTCTCCTTAGGAACGGTCAGATACCCACCAGCTACAGTGCTAGACTTGTTGGCTCGGTACTGTAGACGAACTTACAAGACCTGGCGATTCTAGCTATGTATTCTCATCAGTTACCCCATTTTAAAATAGTGGTCAGGGGTAGCTTTACTTTTCGGTATCTACCTACTGGAGCTCCCCAGATAACTATTGCCATCTATACTGGTATATACGCTCGAATCCTGAATTGCTCTTCATGAATTTACCAGAATCTACGCAAATTTCCGATGATGATTGCCCAAACATACCGGGTAGACATACAAATCTCCATTTCCAACATCTATCAGATTTATTGAACTGATCAGACTTGACTGTTCAAGAAGAACTTGGAAATGCAAATATAATAACAGGTAGGACATGTACACTCGCGAGTGCAATATAAGGCTGAAAATAAAGCCTGTAATTTATCCCAAGGCTCGGTAAGTACGCCTTACGTGTACTGTTCTCTAGAATTTATAGCTCTTGACTCTTGAGCCTCTCCGTTTCGAAATGACACCTAATGATAACCTTCAGATATTTTAAGTTTTTTGTATCTTAGTGTTTGTTTATAGTCGCGCCTTCTAGTAATGAAATGATTTTGAAGTTTCCATGAACAGTCGCGACCCCTTTAATCTACGCCGCTCTCCAGCATTCAACATCCTTCGAGGCACTGCGACACAAGCTGCTTCAAATATCACTCAAAGGGTCAAAGAAGCAGGCGAGCAAGCTTATGAGTCTGGTAAGCAAGCTGTCGAAGAGATGTCCACTTTTTCCATACCAAAAAACGTTCCCTCTTTCACAGATCCTCAGCGCAATTTGGAAAATAAAGCTTGGGCGGCCTCTGGCATGACCGCGAGATCATCGACGGCACATACAAGTGGAGGAGTAATTAGCGGCATACAAGATCGAGTCGGAAACCTTCTTGGAGAAAATAAGGATCTGCCCATGTACAAAGACAAGCCGTATTCATATGCCTCCTCCAGGAGAGCACAACCGTTTTACAAACGGCGGCGCATCATACTTGGGTCCATCGCATTTGTATTTTGTGCGTTATACTTCTTAGGGTTCTTTGGATCCAGTGACGGGACGAAAAAGAAATCGACAGACAGATGGACATGGCTACAGCGACCGGAAAAGGGACCTAGCTCAATTGATTGGCTAGATCGAAGGGAAAGGGTCAGAGAAGCTTTTATTTTGAGTTGGGATGCATATGAGCGATATGCATGGGGCTATGACGAGTTTCATCCAATTTCGAAACATGGAAAGCAAATGACACCGAAAGGAATGGGCTGGATAATTGTGGATGCTTTGGATACAATGATATTGATGAATTTGACGAGCAGGGTGCAGCATGCAAGGGAATGGATTACAAATTCACTGGACTACGACCAAGATCAAGAAGTCAACACGTTCGAAACTACAATCCGCATGCTTGGGGGTCTTCTATCCGCCCACTATCTCTCCACCGAGTATCCACACTTAGCTCCATTGGCCGAGGACGATGAAGGAGCTTCAGGGGAGGATTTATATCTGGAAAAGTCGAGGGATTTAGCTGATCGTTTGCTTGGCGCCTTTGACTCTCCCTCTGGAATACCATTCGCCAGCGTCAATCTCAAGACCACTAAAGGTGTTCCATCTCATGATGATGGCGGGGCCTCATCCACAGCAGAGGCAGCGACGTTGCAATTGGAACTGAAATATCTTACCAAACTTACTGGAGAGACTGAATACTGGGAAAGGGCTGAGAAGGTGATGAAGATTATTGATGATAATGGCATGGAGGATGGACTCTTGCCAATCTACATATATGCTAATACTGGAAACTTCCGTGGAAGTAACATTCGTCTTGGCAGCCGTGGTGATTCATATTACGAATATTTGATTAAGCAATATCTTCAAACTTCAAAAGAAGAGCCTATCTATGAAGAATTATGGGACGAGGCACTCAAGGGAGTTCGGAAGCATCTCATCACTTACTCTAGCCCTTCCAAATTTACTGTTCTTGCTGAGCGACCTGAGGGTCTTGGTGGCTCTCTCTCGCCAAAGATGGATCACTTGGTATGTTTTATGGGTGGAACAATTGCTCTAGGTGCCACTGGTGGCATAACGGAGGCTGAGGCACGCAAGCTACCAAGCTGGAGCGCGAAGAAGGATGAAGAGATGAAACTAGCAAGAGAATTGACGCACACCTGTTGGGGAATGTACAAGGTGATGGCAACCGGGCTTGCCCCTGAAATTGCGCATTTCAACATTGATGATCCACCATTGCCAGAAGATGCACCGCATCAAGCACCTACAAATTTTGATGATCCAGAGAATCAAGAGTGGCGCAAGGACTTCATTATAAAGAACAACGATAACCACAATCTCCAGAGGCCTGAAACTATCGAGACATTGTTCTATATGTGGCGTATCACAGGAGAGGAGATGTACAGAGAATGGGGATGGGAAATGTTTAGGTCTTTCATGAACCACACAGCTGTTGGCGAAGGTGGTGGATTCACGAGTCTCACTAACGCCAATGTTTTACCTGCGCAAACCAAAGATAACATGGAGAGTTTCTGGCTTGTAAGTACACCCTATATCCGCTTGCCATTGGCAGTTTACTGACTTCTACCAGGCTGAAACTCTCAAATATTTTTATCTTCTTTTCTCGCCAAATGATATCCTCCCCTTGGACCAAGTAGTTATTAACACGGAAGCGCATGCCTTCCCACGATTCAAGATGGGCCCATTGTTGTCAACTGGATGGAAGAGAAAGCCCAGGGGGCCAGACGGAAAGATCTTACCAGAACCAAAGAAAGAGCCCGAAGTAAAGGAAGTCGAAGTTCAGGAATTGAAAAGTGGTGCGACGTGAATATAAAAAAGCAAAATTGTACCTATATAATGGATGATGACCATGTAAATTCGTTGTATTTTTATCGCATCTAGATTATAGGCTTTTGCATGCCTTTCTTATTATTATTTGCGGATTTGAACAATTAAAATATAGATACCATTATTGTGTATTTGTATTTGCGATGAAATATCCTGTTTATTTACATTCCGATGGTTTAAATAAATATGTAAGACGAGCTGAATTATTTCACATCACATTGCATCTTGCATTGTACATTTCAATATTTCAACACCTCAACCTCTCCATGTGATGAATGTCTACATTTGGACCCGTTACTGCATTTAATAATCAATTTAGAACAAGGAAGAAAATTGTAAGCGATTGCTTTAAGTAGCGCAATACCAAAACACAGAACGTATATCTCTCAAACTTAAATGATACACAGACATTTGGCCGGCACTTCATTGATGCAACTTTGACAGCCGGCTAATCGAATCGGAAGTTTTTTTTTAGAAAATTGTATTTAAGCGTTGAGCTGTTTAGACGCAAGAAAGACACCCAATGTCAACAATCACATGGTTCTCAGAGACTTAGCCTCTATGGACGAGATCGAGGAGGGAGGGAGGAAGGTGTAATAACCCATATCTACCGTTCAGCTGACGGGGCGGTCGTCGTACCGATTGTTTACAGGTCGAACACCAAGCTTTGCCCAGAAGTTGAGATATTGTACCCCTATTTTACCTACTTGGCAACGATGGTAATACATCAATAGAATGCCATATGCCCTTCTGAAGTGTTTGATGTTAGTTGCTGCTTTTCTTTCTTCTTTCTTCGCCATGTTTGTGGCAATCAGCTTGTAATTGATGAAGTTCATCCCGCTACCATGATGGCTCCACAAGCCCTAGCGCCCCCATACCCCAAATCAAGCTCATCACGTCCAATCACGTCTAATTACTTCGAGCAATCTCATGCAAAAGATAAGCCTTTCACTCCCCGAGATAGCTGTGCCTTCCGGGCTCATAACTTCATCTTCTCACTCCACAAACTTTCTCAACAAACTTTCATACTCATAGTATAAAACATGATGTTGGAAATTACTGGAAAACATGCCATACATTATCACTTGCACAACCTTTGAGCTCTAGCCAACCGGTTGAGAGCTTCAATAGTTACTCTCTTAATTATTCGAGACAACTCAGCCTCACCGGCAATCTTGATGCGGTAGATCTAGATCGACGAGCATCATTCCTAATACAGGCTGTCGACATCTCCTAGACTACATACACATCAAAACTCGAAATCATCAGGATGAATAGTTTCAGGATGAACGATATTGAAAAGGGTTCAGTCTATCCCGATAAAGACCAATCCACAACTCCGGACTACAGTAGCGGACGCGGGGAACCAAGCTACGAAGAGATAACGCAAATAAAACATGGAATAGGGCGTCGCTTTGTTGACAGCTTTCGAAGAGATCCGAGTCTTACTATGACCCCGCCGGGTGTGGTAGGCGCAAATGGGAGAGTATTCCATGCCGAAATTGCCGCGCAAGCAACGGCAAATTCTCCTCTGGCACGAAGATTGAAAGGGAGGCATCTGCAGATGATCGCAATTGGAGGCTCGATAGGTTAGTTGCTTGACGCGCCGAGTGATTTAAGGGGCTATTACTGAGTCGACTTCATGGACAGGTACCGGACTTTTCGTTGCGTCGGGCAAGTCTCTCTCAACTGGCGGACCTGCATCGCTTATTATATGCTTTACACTCATCGGGCTCATGTTATATTGTACCGTGCATGCTTTGGGTGAAATGGCCGTTCTGTTTCCCGTTTCAGGGTCGTTTTCGGCCTATTCGACTCGATTCTTGGATCCGGCAAGTTCATCCATTGATATAACGGGAAAGACATTAACTAATTGCGTGACTTACAGGCTTGGGGATTTGCTATGGGATGGGTATGAGAAACCACAGATAACATGGAACCTAGCATAAAATACTAACTCCTAGCAAACAGAATTATGCAATGCAATGGCTTGTGGTTCTTCCACTAGAAATTATTGCGGCATCTATCACAATCGACTTCTGGGATATACAACAGCGATACGATCACGCTATATTTGTCACAGTATTTCTCTTCACAATTATTGGCATAAACATGTTTGGAGTGAAAGGGTACGGAGAAGCGGAATTCTTCTTTGCTATCGTCAAAGTTGTGGCTATTATTGGGTATATGTGAGTCTAACCGCTGTCATGTTCGATCAACGTTTTGGCCATCATTCTATACTTGCGCTCTTTTGGAGAATTCATAGATGTTTGAACGGAACAAATAACTGACTTTTCCAATAGACTTTTGGCCATAATCCTCAACTGCGGCGGCAGCCTCGAAGAAGGCTATGTAGCTGGTACGTTGTGGAGTGATCCGGGCGCATTTAACAATGGATTCAAAGGCATGTGTAGTGTTTTTGTCACGGCAGCATTTGCTTTTGCCGGCACTGAATTGGTGGGGCTCGCTGCTGCTGAGACTCAGAACCCCAGAAAGTCATTGCCAAAGGCCGTG